TTAAGTCCTCTTTTATTCCGTTACTTAATCATTATTAAGGTAATTTTTAAAAATTTCCATTTACTTTGCCATTCTATCTATCAAATTCATCCCTATATTTTAGTTGAAGTACTCAACCCCTACATTTCTATATTGTGTCAAACTAATACATTCATTAACACCATACATTAACTTTTAACAGATTCTTTGCTGGCACTATAAGTTACCTTTAGATTAAATATTAGAGTTTAGTACTGTGTGAACAGAGTCAAATTTGCTCACCAGAAAGAAACTTTAAAATTTGTGAAGGAAGAGAGAGCTCCCATTTTGTACAACACCTAAAACGATGAAATAGGATTTCATCGCATTCCAATCAGATTCTCAGAAAATTGAATCTGGATTAAAATTGAGAACCTACTAAAGTTGGAAACTAATGACAAGATATAAATAACAATTTCATTGACAAAAAGCCGAATCATAAATTCCATAACCACAGCCATGGTCAACTGGGAAGCACCATAGCAATATGGAGCCTGCCGTTTCCCCATCCCCTGGGGCGGTCACAGTGAGCTCCTGACCAGCTTTCCCAAGCATTATTAATAGTTAAGCTATATATATGGTATATGTGTTGTGTACAACTCCCGACAATGACTGGCAGCTAATTGATACAAGAAAGTGTTTATTGAATGAGAAAGTGAGGGTGGTCTTGACTTAAAAAGGTGTTTGATATAGAAGATTATATTAATATTTCCTACGTACCATTTAAGGAAATATATATACAAGAAACAAATGGATAGTACCAAATCGTTAATGGCAAATACACGAGTTCTATGATAACTACCATGCTTACTAAATGTAGAAGCAGGTTGTACAGCTACTAATAAGATGCAGCAATGAAACTATCAACCACTGCTTAACTGAAAGATTGGTATGTCACTTCCTCTACAAGTGGTTGTAGGTTCAAAATGGACTTTGTTCTCGTATTTCTTTATTTGGGAATTGTGTTATTTTACGTTATGCTATGATCGGTGTAAACGTATTACTAAATAATTTTACGAATTTTTACTTAAAAAAAGATCTAGCGGTGAATCAGGTAAATGAATGGAATAGAAATTAAATTATTTGAAGGAAAAAGAAAACGAAGAAGAAAGGTTAAAATACCAAGAGGATTGCAACGGCAGAGACGCCACGCAGTCAGGACGGTGCCTTTTACAACTCCATATTTCTTGTAAGCTTCCATTGAGTACTCACTACACGTTGGAATATACCGACAACTCTTAGGCATCAGCGGCGAGATTTCTCCTGCGTAATCCATCAGCAATTCGTTACTTCAAATTTCCCCTTTCATTTCTTCATCAGCAAAAAGTAAAACTAAAAATAATAATCACGAACAAATTGAAGGTAACTTAAAAGACTTTACTCTTGTAGAATTGCAACAGAGACAACGCAGCTTTCACTCCTAAGCTATCCCCTTCCTCATCTGATTCAATTTGACTCAACCAAATCAGCTTCGCTTTTGATTTTGCCGAAAAAAGCTTAAATTAACTTCACACAGAGAGAGAGAGAGAGAGAGAGAGAGCGACCTTGAGGCTGAGGACTGTTTTGATCCTCGGCTGTAGCGAATCTTACGCACCAGTATCTTGCAGTAGAGCCTTGTATTTGAGCTTTGCGGGGAAACTGGAGGGAACTGAAATTAGGTTTTTGGCGTTGAACCACTGAAAATGGAAGCATACGGCAGTTGGGGGAGGCAACCATCGCCATTGCACGTCTCAGCTTTCTCTGTGGCCTGGCGCCTTGATATTTCATTTTATAATCTTCTTTAAATTTATAAAATTTATTTTCAAAATATAATTTTTAATCATTTTTTTATATTTTTATTTTATTTAATTAATATAAAAATAACTTAAACAATAATAATTATTACGTCAGCACTAAGAATTAAAAAAATAAAAATTAAATTATTAACGTAATTATCTTTTTATAATTTATATTAGTTAAATAAAATAGATTAATCATTTTTTATTAATTATATTAAAATGTTTATAACATAATTAATAATAAAATATGCAATTAAATCCAGAGTTTCTAACATTTGAATTTGTTAAAAAGAGGCTTCCAAGAACAGGAGCATATGCAACTGATATGCTAGTTTGCCGAAAAAGTCCTACACCGACAATAAGTTAACTTCTGATTCGGAACTCGAGAACACGACGAGATCTTGGATCCGCATTTACATCCATCAAAAACGAGCAGTGACTTGGGAAAAAAGAGCCTTAAAGTCCTTCGTTGGAGTTCCCGTTCCCTCAGGCTTTGAGGCCAGATCAAATGCCTTGAATTTTGCCTCCTCGAACTGCAATGCCTGCTCAAGATCAACCACAACGACAAGGAAAGTGCTTATGAGAAACAAACGGAAGCATAAGAAATTAAGAACGTATCGTAAAGTTAGTTATGTATAAAAATACCTGAACGCACACTTCTGCGACATCAGCCCTGGCTATGGTTCTTGTTTCAGTCTGAAGAAGCTCATCATCCTTTCCGACAAGCAGTTCTCTAATACCACCTTCCTTGTCTTGCAGACCTCCAGCCCTGTTTCCATAAAGGTAGATATCAACTGGCAAGATTCGTAAGCAGAAATTATCAAGGCAACAGCGAGAGGGCCTTCAGTTCCCGATGTGGCGTAGGGAATAAATAAGAACTGTTAGAAATAACTAATACCTGAAATTAGTTAGGTCTTTCAGCTGGAAACACTAAAAATACCTGGAATTCTAACTGCATTTGATCATTGT